TATTTTTCAATTTCCATCTAAATATTGTTTGTGTGTTGTTCTAATACACAGATGATGATGAAAAGGTGATGACAAGTTAAGTGATGAGGAGGAAGAAATCACCCAGGCTGTACCATTCAAGTGCATCTGTGCTGCTCATGAGAACCACTACCAACCAACATCATTTGGAAAAGGCATACCTCACTCTTCATGAAAAAGATAAACCAGTGAATGTAAGAATACGGCCAGAGCCATTGAATCCAAGTGACCCAAGTGCAATAGCAATTGATCTAGACTATGGCCCCATGTTGGTTATATATTGCTGCTGAACTATGCAAGTATCCGCACCCATTAATTGCTGCAAGAGATGTCGTGGATGTCTATGTTCAGCATATCGAGTATAGGGTTGACTTTTTTAAAATAGGATTTTATCCAAAAAATTTTGTAGAGACATGATTAGTGCATGGGAGACTCAAGTGGTAGGAAAAGCATGAGTGTACGTCGACAGATGTTTTTTTTTATATAAATAATAGCAACTAACTATGTTTAGCAAGTTATTGAAGTGCATTCATTTCAATTGGCTAACTTTTTAGATTTTTTCCAGCATTTTTTAAACAAACCACAGGTTATAAACGATAACTTTCTATATCTAATTAAAACAATCTGTCATGTACACTCATGCAAAATAAGTACATAACTGTAAAAATGTGCTTTAGTAAATAAATAAATGAGTAATTTATCCATGCACATGATGCACTTGACCTACTTTGTTTGTAATTTTTTCAGATTAAAATTAATGCAACAATAAAACAAGATGTCCATTTATATAATGCACAAGTCAATTCCTGGAGTAACCATCCCCCCAGGAATTTGCCTGATAGACAGTTCACGGGGGTTGGGAATTTGCCGGTCATAACGTGCACAGGGGCCGGGTATTGTTATAGTCGCTGAGGACCCCCAGGGATTTGACAAATGGTTTCACTTTTGCAAAACTTATTACCTGTGCCATGCGAATAAAGTTTTATAATATTCCATGGCAGTTTAATAGTATGTTATTAAATGACTATGCCTATGATATGCATTCATCGTTCCCGGGGTGGGGCATATTCCACTCTCAGCTTGCCCAAAGGCCGTGCATTAGTCTCCTAGTTGTGTCCCGGCACACTTCTTCTGTTAACTTTGCACTATCGTAACCAGTCAAATCAAATGCCCGAGGGTGTTCCCCGGGGAGACAGTTACTCCTGGAATTGACTCGTGCATAAATCATAATATTTATTAAATTTCAATAAATTGACCACAATAACATGCCTATGATAATTATAATTTGATATACATGATATACATGATAATACAATAAAAACTTGTTTTATTGTTTTAAAACAAGTGGAGCTCTCTTCTGGTTTAAAATGGGCTGTTATATATAACACTGAGTTATCCATGCTGAGGATTCTGCAGCTCGATTTGCAACAAAAACATCATGATCTGGCGATCAGCTCGTATGAGAATATGTACACGATCCAGTCGCGTCGGCCAAAGACAGAAAAAACTTTGAAAATCGCACAGATATAAATTCTATAAAAATATTGAAACAACTCCTAAGTCTTCTAAATAATATTTTAACACTTTATAAACAAAAATTCATTGAAAATATAATCTTTGATGGCGCAAATTCTTTCCAAGGTTTAGACGCCATTTTAGCGAACGTCGAGTTGACAATAGTCGCTTCAATGGCCAATATCTCGAAAACTGCCGGAGGATCACCGGGATCATTCCAGCAGATTTAAAGCTTAGATGTTTTTCTTGACGACTGCCAAATATGAGGAAAATCGAACCATGGGAATTCTAGATATTTCATTTTAAACATTGTAAACATATTTAGACTTGAGTCAACACGTCGCGGGGAGTCGTCTAACTTCAAACATCAAAATAACATTGAAAATAACGTTTGCCTCGGAGATTTTTGCAGATATCACCAGATCTTTAGCAGTCGTACTACTACACTTGAAATTTTGCAAGAAAATTTTAATATTAATGTTTTTTCTCGATTTATTTTCCGTCGAATACAAATTTTTCTGCCCAAATTCTGCAGAAAACACGATGGAAAATACAGCGATCTCATTGGTCGAGAGCTCACGTGACAACTCGCTAATTGCTTGTCCAACCTCCTCTGGGGCAGGCTCTCCTTCAATAGAGCCGGCCACGCTGGCTAAATTTCTGTCTCCCTTTCAGCCACTATTTTTTACAAAGTAAATGTTACAGGACACCCTAGGCATACTTTACAGGCGATCTACGACAACTCGGCGAAATGTTATCTAATTTCTACCAAATTTTCGCCGATTGTAGTCAGGTAATGTAGAATAACACAGTGTTATAAAATATAACGAGAATATAATTTTCCCGAACATTGCTACAAGTTTAAGTTTGTGTTACCTTCGCGCCGTGATCTACGTTAAACGCCAGTTTTACTAAAAACCTGTCAAACTATCATTTTACCCTTCTCGAGGATTGTTCTAAAAAAGTGTGTTCTCTTTTTATTGTTGCGTCAGGTAGGGGTCACTTAGCTAAGGCATATAGTTTGTTCCGACTTGTGTTATATTGCAACCAAAGCACAACAACAGGCTTTTAACTTTGCAACTAAAGGCCCGTAAAGCTCGCGCGAACATGAGAACACACTTTCGCAGCCAAGACATACATCTACAATCTGGTAAAACTGCATGGTAAGACTGTCAAGTTAGTAAACTGTGCATGTGTTTATGGAGTATTTTCCTCCGCGATATTTTGTTCCATGGTAATTTGTTCCTGGGTACTTTTCTTCGGTGTTTTTAGGGTATTTTCCCCGGGAATGTTTCCCCCCGATGTCGTGTTTTTCTTTCACTGACTTCGTGTCAAGTGTTTGTTCAATTCACTGAAGGCGGTAAATCATTCGCAGTTAATTAATTTAAAAGAGTTCCAGCATGAAACTCACTTCCCGTGAAGACAGATACAGGACACTGATGTTTTTTAGGAAAAACCCAACCATAACCCTCACCATAACCCAAATCCTAACCTTTTGTAAAACCACAACCCTAATCCGTATTGTAATTCTAATCCTTCTCACGTCATAGTGGAATAATCCTTGTGAGGTTGCCTGATTTCTACGTATACTATTACATGGAAATAAATATCGCTTCCACGAAATGACGTAAAATATCTGAGTACAAGAAATGCCATATTTTGAACTTTTCAACCTATATATACGCATTCGAAAGATTAAGGTGTAACTTCTATTTTCATAATAATAACAGCTGATGTGCAGAAATGTTATTTCTGTGAAATATATCAACATATTTTGAAAATTGCGTAATTCCTAGATAGGAAGTCAGAAAGCTGATTGAGATCACAGCTTGATCACCAGACCAACAACCAGACACCAGATGTTCTGTAATATATTCAGATAGAAGGGAATTTACAATTTCGGAGAAACATTGTTGCTGTGAAAATTTCTGGTAAGTTTGTTCGTATTTCAACATTACATTCACACGAGAGCTGACGAGATCGCAACTGAACGCAAATTAGTCGCATTTTATTTGTTCAAACGGGAATTCTTGCCGTTATCTGAGCTCGAATTGTCCGCCTTCGTGGGTGGCGTGTTAACGCAAAGCAAGAAAGTTCAAACTTGAGCATTGAAGGTAGTCTCAGACCAAACTCAAGTTTTCATGATTTCTCATGGGTGTTCTCATGGGATGTATCAAAGCAGACGAACTAGAGCCTATAGCTGTCCGTACGAATTCCCGCGTGAACACATGAAAGCGAACTAATGCGATGTACGGTTCTGAATTCATCAGATTTCGTATGATCAGAGTCTCAATGTACGAAATTTTAATTGTAAGCCCTTTTTAATGAGTTACAAGAGTCCCTAGCGAGTTGCTTGGTGCGAGGACTAGTAGAAAACAGGCTTCATAGAATAAAATATAGATACGAGAATATTGCGAAATATTTGGTAGACAAGTAATGCGCATGTGCAGTTAAGAAGGATGGGCTATAACATCACGTATGTCAAGAAGCTAGATTTTGCTATCAAGTTAACTTTAAGAGATTCCTAACATATAAATTGTGTTTCCTTTTGACCTGCAATCAATCGACTTGATCCAACTTTTTAGTATCACATACAAACTTTCACATTCTTCAACTGTATATAATTATGTAAGATATGAGTCCCTCGCTGAATAAAAACTGACCAAGTTAACATAACAATGGATAACAAGACAGTTCAAACCTTTTGACTATATAGTCCCAGTATAGTCATACATTTTAGGTATTTATATGAGCATGCTCATGAGCATACTGCATGTTTTAGGTAACACCGCGGAAAAACGTCTGCGCATGCGTCAACCTTACCTGTAATAGTATTGCGAACTTGATGAGAAGCTGTTCCGAAGGCTCAAAATGGCGGTAAAATTGAGGGGCTTCCTTGTGCGTCTTTACAGCCAGATTTCGAGCGCAAAAATAGACATGCCATTCTAAAAACTAGGAATAAATACAGCCAGAAGGTTCAAGAAATTGTATTGTACAAGAACATGAACTAAAGGTGATTGTTGACAAATTTATCGTGTGAAACATTTTGTTTATCAACTAAGCAACGACAATTTCCGAATTTTCGTTTGAGATACATTTCTTTAAAAAAAACTGTGTCGCCAAATATAAAAAATTTTCGTGTTTACAATAATTAAACTTTAGGATTTATTCTACAATTTGAGTGGGTTAAGAAGCTTAACTTTTCGAGAGTTTTCTTAACTTTTGAGTTTGAATTTTTGTTTTGAATAATTTTGCAAAAATTTTCGAAGTCGTGTCCGTTAAAATCAACATTTTTTTACATGAATTATATTTCATTCCATACTTTAAATGCCAGAACGCTTTCAATTAATGTCTAGTCTACCCATTTGCTATATTTTCTCGTTTGTTTTACTAATTTTTGACCAATTAATAAGCATGTTTTTGTTTTAGAAATTGATATTCAAATTCCCCGCCATATTTTCATAATTTGGTGCATGCGCAGACGTTTTTCCGCGGTGTTGTTTTAGGTGAACACCGCGGAAAAACGTCTGCGCATGCACCAAATTATGAAAATATGGCGGGGAATTTGAATATCAATTTCTAAAACAAAAACATGGTAAGGTTGACGCATATATGACAACATACAGGTAAGGTTGACGCATGCGCAGACGTTTTTCCGCGGTGTTATATGAGTGTGCTCATGAGCATACTGGTTTTATGTATGTATATCAGTGTGCTAATTGGCATACAGGTTCTAGGTATGTATACGAGAGCTGAGTGTGCTCATGAGCATATACTGATTTTCCCCGAGCCGGCGGCGCGAAGCGCCGTGCGAGGGTACTAATTCCCCCCGGCTATATACACCCGGGGAAACGAAAGCATTAGGGAAGTCTAAAGTTCATCAATGAGCGCGGGCGTCGGTCACCAACGATGGGTGGTCATCCTCACTGATCTCAAAAAAATGGCGGACTGTCATGAATAACGGACACTGATTGGTCCAATTTAAAGTTTGCATTATAACGACTGCATCACGTCAGCGAAATAGCAAACATTTCTTGATTTGATGATTCATGATTGATAAATTTCTTGCGAATATATTTCATTTTTACTCGCATTTTTGCAATATTTTGTAAATTTCAAAAGCTCTCGGAGAAAGAAACTGCGAAAGAATCGGCTAAAAAAAGGGAGCCGACGTTAACGAAGGTAAGTTTGTTTTAAATATTGATTTTATAATGGCTTTAAAACCCGACGGCCTTTGCGTATATGAAACAACTAAACAAGACAGAATATAATTTCAGTGTATCTTTAATATTGATTCCCTTTTGTATTATATTGAAATTTTTAAATGAAAAAGAAAGCAAAGTTATTTGCGGCGAGAATTTGAAATCTTTTTATTGCAAACTCAAAGTTTATCGATAAACCACTTTAATAATTAAAGGTAGTTAAGTTAAAGAGCACTTTAAAACGTTTTGCGAAGCGTTTGTCGTTGAATTTTACCTTAAATTGAGGCTTATATTACGTATAATAACATACCTAAGATATATATGTTGGGAAATTAATGATTTTGTAATTAAAAGTGATATTTTTAGGCGATTTTTCATTTGTAAGAATATTCTTAAAAAATTATCGTGTTACCATGACAACTATTTTAGAACTTCATGTTCGGAACATACAA